AAAGGTCAGACTGGAAGAAAATGCCTGCGGTCCACCCAATGTACACTCTGTGCATGAAGCTTAAATAAATATACCTACCCATGCAAAGATCGTAGTTGGGCGTTCTGAGGCTATCTTCCTACATGCCCCCATAATTAGTATTCTGTACCATAACGAAACAAAAACGTAAATGCATGTGTATATTTGGACCGAGTCTATCACCAAAAACCCATGACCGCAGTCACCAACACCATCTTTTTTTTTTGAGGGGGATAAATCATCTAATGACTTTCCCCCCCCCCCCAGGTGTAACGAGAGGGATTGTCTCTCTTACTGACAAAAAACAACCTGTTCCTACTCTTGCATTTCGAGCCGGAGCCCCGGTAACTCGTTACGTCCTCCGCGGTTCCGTATCGGCTTAAGCCCTATTGGGCTCCATCTGTAGTCTGATGGCTCTTTAACTCGTCGAGTACCGGTTTTGTAGACACAATAATAGGACAATAGGTTGCGGTCACCGGTGACCGCTTAGTGTTTGACAGTTTAAGGCGCGTGCGGAACGCGACGAGCCCTACGCTCGGACAGACACATCCTACTAATAACAAAAAGGGTTTTGAAAACCTAAAAATGACAATTAAACTGTCAAAAACCAAGCGGTCACCGGTGACCGCAACCTATTGTTCTATTATTGTGTCTACAAAACCGGTACTCGACGAGTTAAGTACCTATTTATGTTTTGTCCACTACCCGCTAATTAAACACGAAGCTCGTTGTTGAGCAATTGCCCGTAAGTATCATACGTAAATGTTGTTAACTCCTGCCGGTTTTTAAATTTTACTTTGTTGATTAATTATACACATATACCTACGCCACGTAAAATTACACAGTCATAGCGTTATTATCATTTCGTGTCCACCATTCGTATAAACAACACTAGTTCGACACTATGTAAGTATTTTTTTAATTTTATTTTTTTACTACTGTCGATGTCGGTAGCAACAAAGCTTACAGCCCGCCTGGTGGTAAGCGGACACTATAGCCTAAGTCCACCTGCAATACTAGAGGTATCACAAGTGCGTTGCGGCCCATGTAGAAAACTGTTTTTACCTAATTGTGCCATTATTACCGGGTTCCCAGAAAAGGGTAGACGTTAAAATTAAACAGCGGGTTGGCCATTTAGAACACTCAATTACCCGACTGATCGCAGACACCACTTTGCGCTGCTATTCAAAAAAGGTTAAAAATTAAAAAAAAACCTTCCCTGGATTTCCACGTACATTTCAAGGCCAAAATTAGCCAAATTAGTTCACCCGTAGTCGAGATTAAGCGGGATTAATGAACGGAAATTAATTTTTATTTACTGTACCTACATTTGTTCTAGAAGTTGTAGAATTTAATTACAAATGTGCCTTTAGCAGCGCGCTAACCAACGTTATTTTAAGACAATTTTGTCTGGATAAGTTTTTTTGTCTTAGAAAAAAAATATCGGCACTCCCTATTACCCGATAGCTACTTAAAAAAACCTTGCGAAATGCCTCCATCTCCCAGCTGGAAGGAGCCCCGCTCAGAGGTTTTTTTTTATATTTGATGGGGCGACGTTTGACCACTATCTCGCCTGTTGGTAAGCGATGATGCGGTCTACGATGGAGCACGTCGTCCCATAAGCAACCTATTCACTCGGGCCTTGAAGACTCCCAGGTTATACCCTTCAGGAAATACAGACTCTGGCAAAGAATTCCACTCTTTAGCAGTACGCATAAGGAAGCTTGAAGCGAAGCGCTTCGTGCGTGTGGGCGGAACATCTACCATGAATCGGTGACGCAGAGGTTTTAATGCACATTACAGCACTTGAAGCCAATGTACAATGTAACACCCACTTTTCACTAAGTATTTATGTAATGAGTCCCATGTAATGGTGAGGCCATCATCTGAACTTGTCATATTTTTTATTGGGAACGGGGGCCCATCCCATAAATTTTCCACGGGCCCCGAACGGTATAGTTACGCCACTGCACGCAAATAATTCGTCTTTACGCTCTTTACAGCAAAATGTTCGACACCTACGTGGATCTATCAGCTGAGCAGTACGAAAGAATATCCAAGCAATATGAGGTATTCAAGGAGACCTGTGACGATGTGACCAAAAAACCTGTAACTGTGTACAGTCCTTTGTCACAGAAGCACCTGGATGAGCTGTACCTCATCAGGGAAGTCAGTAAGACGCTGCAGAAGAAGAAGGAGGAGGATATGAAGAAGCAGGCTGCGGTATGGCCTTTTTTCTGTATATGAAGTAGATACTGTCCCGTTCATCAAATGGTTGCAAGGCTGCAAGAGAAGCTATCGTTTTCCTGTTCACCGGATAGCCAGTGCCGGATTAAGCCAGCGCGGGGCCTGTAGCAAATTCTGTCTAGGGGCCCTTGGTTTGCTATCGGTTCTCATTTGGGCATTGACTAAATTTGGTGCCTTTCTTTTTTCTGGCGTCATTCGATGATTTATAGAAAATATTGTCTAGAATGACATTACAAACGAAATTATCTATGGGCTCATGTATGGAAATCTCAGGCTGGACTGAGTTATGAGCGTTGAAAGGAGCTGAAGTCAAACATTTTACTTTGGTTTTTTTTTATTCAAATCTTATGTCTTATACTATTATCTTGTACTATTATATAAAGTGGAAGAGTTTGTTTGTTTGTTTGTTTGTTTGAACGCGCTAATCTCCGTAACTACAAGTCTGATTTGAATAATTCTTTTTGTGTTGGATAGTGCATTTATCGAGGATGGCTATAGGCTATAAAACATCACGCTACGACCAATAGGAGCCGAGCGGAGCGTGTGTTTGTCACAATTCCCAACTTTAAATTGCGTGCAACTGTACGTCGGGCACAGGAACACCATATCACACCACAATTTATTCATATTGCCAGGCACTAATTTTTATTGCCTATTTTCTCTCAGTCGATAACTTGTGGGATGCTTCTAGGAGTTGTGTCATAAAGCTTCATGAGCGTCAGCTATGTTACCAGTGGTGTGTTGAGCGGTGGTAGCCGTGCGAACATCTAATAAAGTATATTTTGTTTTGCCATTGACTCCTGGTGGGAGACTCATCTACTTTATAGTTCGCATAATCTTTTGTAGAAAGGAAACCGTCGACTTTGTAAAGTGATATACGTCAGATGAGCGTATATTTTTTTCATATAATGTGATCAGTCGAAATATAATCCATCACTTTGTGACTGAATGACGATATCTTTGTACATAATCTTATGCTAGCTGTAGATTAGAGTATTAACTGTAGTTAAATTAGTGACTAATCGGGAGTAGGTCGGGAGAAGTAAACAGAAAAAAATTTTTTTCGTGTTTCGACGTATGCCACTACTCAATCCGCTATGCCGCAGCTGACAAACATAGCATTTCGTGATAGGGCTCAGTAAAGTATTTTGCAGGTTTTCGACTGAGAGGATATTGAAACTTACATGAAAATCTGTCATAGGCCATAAACCGTATACATAGGTATGAAGTGAACACGCTAGCCAAGCAATCGAAATGTTTTTTTTTACTTCAGCAGTGGCCAGTTAATGGTTGACTCTGTTATGATTCCGTGGCCTTATAAAAAAAAGAAGTCCACTGTAAGCTTTACCATATTCCTTGAAATCGTTTATAAACATTTATTACAAAATATTTCTGACAAGTAAATGAAGAAATATGCGTTGTGTACGGTCACCATGAACAAAACAGGAATAATATAGCACTATTTTCACATCTTTGAACTGATTTAACTCGGTTTGGACTGTGTTTTTGATATAAGACCCCATAAGTATATTTTTTTGTTTGTAATGTTATTCTGCATCAGTTTTTACACATCCAATAAACTGCCGCGAAAAAATAAAAAGGCACCACGCTCCATACAAATTTGGTCATTGTCATTTAGGGTATTATTACATAAAACAAAACTGTTACAAATAAACTTTTCTGGATTTGTTATGGGCAAATTTCGCGATTACACTTTTAATATCGACTTCTTTAAGCAAGTCATGCTCTATATTCAACATTGTGATATGATTAAGACGTTCTTGGCCCATAGGGTTCCTTAATTAATTCATTTTTGATTCGTTTAAATCGGGCTCGGTTCGCCCGCCAATGGCACTACCACCAACCAAGCGAACAAATACTCACTTTCCTTTTCTAACACATACAAAATACCGACTATTTGTCTTTTTTCGTTAATTTCGTTAAGAAAAAAAATCAAATTACATGTAGGTTGGTAGTAATTTTGTAAACAAAACATTTTCTTCATAAGTCTTGCTGTTGAAGTGGTGTAATTACGAAATACCTATTTGAGCGCGGGGCCCTCCAATCCGCGGGGCCCGTAGCATTTGCTACTCTTGCTACGTGGCTAATCCGGCACTGCGGATAGCAATAATATAAGAAGTGTTGGTATGATGGGGCATGTCATAAAAATCAGTGGAAAACGACGCTGCGGCGACGCAACGCATTGCACGCATGATGCGTTTACAAACACACACATTCACAGGTTTAATCCGTCGTATTTATGTCGTCAGTTGTTTTATTTTCATTTCACTAGTTTGTAGTCCCATATCCCCTAGGCCCCTAGTAATGGAGTGAGCCAATTATGCCATACATCGGTTATGTAGGCACTATTATTGAAATTAACATCATTTATTTACAGCAAGCGGCAGCTGATCAGGAAAAGAAGTCGGAAGAAGCTAAGGCCGAAGAAGAGCAGAAAGAAGAAGAAAGCAAGTAGAATGCTGAAATTGTCGGTTGTAGTTTAATTTATTTATTAAAATTTTAGTTTTTAGGTAAATGTATGTTTTATTTCTTTTTTTATTGAATCCTAGTATTTTGACCAACAATTTAGATACCTAGCTACCTACTTTTTACTTTCCACCACAAGTCCGTGACCTAGAAGTGAATCTCTTTAAAAAGGTCAAATAGCATAATACTTAATACTTCCCTCGGGACTCGAACCAAAATCCCCTTTGCTTCAAAGTCACACTATGACCACTCAACCATAGAGACTGCATCAATGAATATTGGTGCCTACCTACCGCCTTTTTTAATGAGATAAGAACACAACTTCCTAAAACCTCTATAACTTGCGTAAGCCAGGATCTATAGTAAGTAGATATGCACAACCAAAACCATAAAAACACCGGGGCACTGAAGTCCGGTGCGTCTCAGAGATATGAATCTGTCTTGGATCCTGCAACGAAATAAATCAGATATTATTCGAGATGAAAAACATAGGTATCAGTCGTCATGCTTGTTTTTTTTTCTTCTTTGGCAGTTACGGTGAGAATATGCAAAATATGTGAAATGAAATCGTTTCATCAGCGAGCGACCACAGGGAAAAAGTTCAGTGGATAGCAAGTTTGCCACAGGATTTTTTTAAGTGTTCTAATGTAAACTTTGCCGACAGTATCTACCCATTATATACATTCTCTCATATCTACATTCAACATACGTACCTGAGAGTAGTAGCTATACCTACGGTCGTCCCCTATTACACAGGAATTGGATTAACTACAATGATTGACGGGCCTAATAACATACTTGGCTAAAATGTGCTAAATAGGTGCATCCCTGACCTCTGCCTACCCATTCAAGGTAATGCGTGATTTTGTAGTCAGTTTATTAGGTCGGAACTGAAAATCTAGATTTTACGGTAGACAGATATACTAAAAATTATTTTTGACTAGGAATACAACAGTGGGTATCGTTTACCTAACCGAAAATACAAAGCCTGTAGCATAAAATTTTTACTAAAATTACGTGATTTCATATCACTTACTTTGTTGATTGTTCCATATCATACCTACCAATAATGTTGCCGACAATGGACAGCGTTCAAAAATAAAACAACAATAAAATGCGGTTTGGCGTCCCAGGCGGCCGCTCCCTTCGCCCCTTATAGAATCCGGCCCTTCTCATGACTCATGTTGCATTTTTTGCAATTTGTTACACATACTTCGGCGGTCGGCCGATCGGCGTTTCTTCTTCACCAAAATGACGCGGGAAAAACAAAATTTTAATTAATCTGTGTAATCACGACTTATCAAATTGACAACTGCTGTCATTACTGAAAATGGCGGGAAATTATGAAAATAAACAAACTAAGAAATAAAATAATTATTCAAAAATATAGTTGTTTTATTTATGTAACATCAACTTAAGCATATTGGAAGGTTACAAGGGAAGTAAATTAATTCAAACTACTTATTTATCATAAAAAAGTATAATTACTCCATAATAATACGTAGCAATATGCTCATATACGGTTTTAGCCTAAGAGTTGTCTGTCATGATGTCCTCATCATCATCTTCGGGCTCAGCAAGATCCGGATGACAGACTCTGATATGCAGATTAAGATTAATTCTTACAATGAAACTTTTGCCACAAGTCGTACATTTATGTGGTCTTTTAACATCATCGTCAACTGTTGGTGGATGCGCTCTTGTCAAGTGTGTACGCAGTAACGACGCATGCATCGTTCTATCACAATGTGTACACTTCACATGACAATCAATGGGCTGGCCTTCATGTGTTTGTCTATGCTTCTCCATCGTTATTTTAGACACAAACAGCTTATTACAACAATCACATTTGAAATTTTTCACTTTTGTATGCTTCTTCATGTGAATTTTCAAACAATTCTTCGTTGGAAACATTTCATCACATTTTGAACACTTAAACTTCTTTATGTCGTTATGTAGTTGCATATGCAACTTCAAATAAGCCTGCCCGGTGAAACTTTTGTTGCAAATCTCACAATTAATTGTTGATGTTGACGAATGAGTTTGCATATGACTTTTGAGAAACTGTGCAGCAACAAAGCTGCGGTCACATACTTCACACATATACTTTTTAGATGAAGCACCTTCATGTTTGCTTCTATGTATGTCTAGATGATACTGAGAGTTTACTTTAACATCACACTGGTCACATTTGAACTTACGCCGCTTTTTCGGACCTTCTTTGTGATGTACTTGAGGCTCTGGCTCCATAATTGGTGTGTCTTTGTCGTTTCCATGAAACTTTTTGTGCAACATCAAATACTCCATACCCTCGAACGTGAGATGACAGACATCGCATCTATAGCGCGGGTCATTTTGTTGCTGTTTCATATCGTATGTTACATTTTCACCATTGTAAGCTTCAGCCATCTTCTCACGCTTAACTGACGAACGGTTGTCTTGTTTGTCGCTCGACGCCGGCTCCATCATACTCTTCATCCAGTGATCTTGAATGCCAACGCCGGATTTCGTCTCCATTTGGTGCACCGACGCTTAGCTGTAGCTAGCGCATACTAAGTGCGCGATATTGATCCGTATATCACGGTGCAGTGGTCTTAAATTCGAGTAATAACACTATTCTAGCGTAAAAAGTGTTATTATTGCATTGTTTACGCGATACTTTTGAAGATTTCACGTTAAAATATCAGCGGTAACACAAAAGGGAGCCTTGTTACAGTACCATAAATTCCAAAAGAGAAGCGATGCGCGTTGGTTTTTTTCGGTCGGTTCATTGACAGCGCGAACTTTTTTTATTCTTGACAACCTCTCTGTTGCCATTGCCAAATATTTAAATGTTAGCCAAGGAACAAAACGAAATGACTAAAATGTTTTGTTTAGTATCATTTTAGACAAAAGCGAAGTTATGTTCATAAATAATAATAAAATAAATAAAAAATAATAATTTCCAAATTAAATTTAAAAAATTTTTCATCAAATTAAATTTTTAAAATAATAGCAAAAAAACCTATGGCAAAAACTGACAGATGGAAAATGGCGTCTGCGATGATATGCGGTGTTTATTTTTATTTTGTATCCTTGAAAGCTTGAGTCGAACAGGATAATGTTGATAATGTTCGTGTAGTACAAGTGATAGGTAACGTGTTTATCGACATGGCTTCAAGTTCGGAGGCTCCAGCTACGACATATGTCGATAGTTCTTCGGACGACGAGTGTTTATCGGCGGTGAAACGAAAAGCCGAAATTGCTGAAGAAAACAGCGGATGCAGTAAATATGAGGAAGATAGTGACGATGAACCGATCATGGCTGGAGTGCTGGTCACAGTCGAAGTCGAGGAAATGGACGAAGATTGTCCATTGGAGTTCAACAAAGTAAGTCCTCGAAACATTGAAAAAGTCTACGAAACTATCTAAGAAGATCGTTCCAACTTGTGTTAATACGTGAAACTAGCTCTTATAGGCTTGTTTATAATCTCCAATTTACTTTAAACAGTGTAAATGTCATGTTTTTTGCTATACCGTTGTTTATAATTACACAAGGGAATTATTTTATTGATCCATTTTGATTTCATGCTTGAATTGGCTATGGTTCTTAAACATACGTTTTATCGTAATATTATTCAGTGTTCTCCTACTATAACATAACTACCTAACATTATAGATATTTTTGTTGTAATACAAAATTAAATGTTTATTCCCCTATCATCTACCCATACCTACATGATATTTTTTTCCAAAACTCTGTTTTTATTTTGTAAATGAATATATGCTGATAATATTCTTATCACATAATAGCTGGATTTTAATTGCCAGAACTAGTACTTATCTTTGTAAACAAAAAAATGTTGTTAAAAGTATTGTGTTGTTCATTTTATCATTATAATATTATCTTATATTTAGTTATTTCAACTGACATAATATGTTAAATAATGTGTGATAAATAGCTATAATTATTATTTGCTAATCTAAAGTTTTACTGATACAGCATAAATCTAAAGAATTGTGAAAGAGACAATTTAAATTTTGACACTGGGTTCACAATACTCTATTTATTCAGAACAAAATTGAGGTCAAGCACTAAATAATATGGACTCCAAACATCAAGTTAATGTGCAAAATAATATTAACAAAGTCCTGTTATAAATCTTAATTCTAATGGAGTTCCTATTGCCAATAACAGGAATTTTAAATAGAAAGCAGTATTTCAAAATTATATATGTCACACATATTACACACATAAGAAAAATAAACCATTATTAAATATTTTTATGCTAACACCAATGTTAATAGATGTTGGTAATTAGGTCAACTTTGGAAACAAAAATAATAACCACATCTGTTGTTATTCAAATCATTATCTTAACTGAGTTCAAATAAAGTTTATATTATACCTAAATACATTCTATTTGGCTAATAGAGTAACTGAAATGTCATTTATTTATTTATTATTTATTAAGGTATTTTAAACTTAAAACTGTCAAACACCGTGAGGACACTGGTGACCGCAACCTATTGTTTTTTAATTGTGTCTATAATGACGGTACTCAACGAGTTGATGCACTTACAATAAGATTTGTAGCAGTTTTAACATAGTTTGTTGTTGCACTACATCTTCGTCTTTGGAATAAAACTTATTTCAATTTATATATTATTTTTACTTATTTAATGTTTTTCAGACTGAAAAATCAAATAAGAAGGCGAAGAAGAGAAAAAAACAGAAAACTGTGAAAGGTAGACCGAGGAAAGGCAGGTCGTTCCGATGTGCTGTTTGTACTGCGGAGTTTGAGACTGCTGGAGCACTTAAGAAACATGGACTTGAACATCAAGTTAAAACGAGGTATGTATTTATATTAGGTTACTACCTAACACACTACTGTACTACTACTGCTACTGTATCCCGTAGAATATCTCGGTCACATACTGCGGTATGACAGGTACATGTTGCTTCATCTTATAATGATGGATAAGGTTTAAAGAGAAGGGAAAGAACAAGTCGTGGCTGCGCAATATCCGGCAGTGGACCGGTATCACCTCTGCAGAACAACTTTTCTACTTAGCCAGTCACAAGGGCTAATTCAAGAAGTCAACCTTCAGGAATGAGGTATAGCGCCAAAAGTAGAATATTATTAGTAGCTAAGTAGAATGTTTCTGTCACCACCCCTGCTCTGCATGTGGGTGGGTAGACCAGGCAAAACTGCTCTCTGATAAATCCATTTTTTTTAAATGTTGCATGCTCAATTTCCTATGCTGTCTTCAAACGGTCAAGAATAGAACAAACTCCTTTTTAAATCACCTACAATGCACTTAGATTCCTCTGGTGTCTGGGTGTAAACATGCAACCCCCTCTTGTTTGGAAGTTGGTTTGTTTGTGCTAAAACCTTCTCCTAGGTGTAAGAAACAATCTTCTGAATACCGCATCAAAAACGGTTCAGCCCATTACGAGGTAATCGCGCATAAATACATACATCTTTACATATATAATTCTTCTGTGAGTGTGTATGTCACTGAACTTCACTCAAACGACTGGACCGATTTTGATGAATTTGGGGATCTGGGAATGGTTTAGATTCACAAATCAGCCCGGCAGATGGCGCTGCAGTCGATGTTTAGGTTATTTATCCTAAACAGCTGAACTAATTTCAATGAATTTTTGTGTATACATTCAAGTGGATATGCAGGACAACGTCTGTTGGGTCCAAAGTACAAAGTCGCTTTCGCTGTATGTCCGTATGTATGCTTAGATCTTTAAAACTACGCAACGGATTTTGATGCGGTTTTTTTTAATAGATAGAGTGATTCTTAAGGAAGGTTTATATCATGCATATTGCACCCGTGCGAAGCCGGGGCGGGTCGCTAGTAATAGTATAAGATATAAGATTATTATATTTGGGAATTAAGTTTGACTAATGTGACGTAGCTTAAAGTATATATGTATCGAAGAAGTGTGTACATGCAGGTGAAACAGAGAACCTCTTTTTTTGAAGTCGGTCAAAAAAATTGTATCCTTTCAAACTGCATCCTATAGTCAGACTGCCTCGCTGGCCGCAGACTCTTGAGCAAGGGGTCTCGGGTTCGATTCCGGGTCGGGAAAATTATATGTGTATTACTGGTTTTTTTTTAATTCTCAGTAGTAGCACGGAGTCTGGAATTGTGCCTGGTATATGGCAATAGGCTGTGGCATGTATGGCAATAGTACGTAACAACGTACAGTGGCATTAAGTGCCGTTATGGGCACCTCTGCCTACCCCTTCGGGAATAAAAGGCGTGATGATGCGTGTGTGTGCTGTCATGGAGATTATGATAGTCTCTCTCATTTATACGGGTACGGGTCGTGACTGTATCTATGTAGATATTGATGATATTACACTTGTTTAATTAAAACAAACAAATATGTGACATTTCAGACACAAATGTGAGATATGCGGTCGTTACTTCAAGAAGGCGTTCAGTCTACGTATGCACAACAAGGTGCACATGGAGAAGACAGCTCCGCAGTGCCAGCTGTGCGGCATGGTGTTCAATAATAAGGGATATTTGGTGAGTTACATTCAATTATGTTCCTTATTTCCAAGTGTGGGAGAGCCATGTTTCAACACGAATGGGCCGGCTCGACCGGAGTGATATCACTCACAGCCCAGCAGCAAACCGAGGTAAAACAACGCTTGTGTTGTGTTTCGTCATGTAAATGAGGTTACTGGAGACCCAACTAGACTATCCCTCCTTCCCCAATCTCCCTAATCCCTGAATCCCCAACATTTTTCAAATTTACGTAACATAACATAACATCACGCCTTATCCCCGAAGGGGTAGCAGAGGTGTACATTATGCCACTGGACAATGTAACACCCACTTTTCACTATTTATGTTATGAGTCTTATGTAATAGGGGGTGAGCCTATTGCCATATACCGGGCACAATTCCAGACTCCGTGCTACTACTGAGAATTTTTAAAAACCCAGTAATACTTTGCCCGACCCGGGAATTGAACCCGAGACCCCTTGCCCGGCAGTCACACTTGCGACCACTCGGCCAACGAGGCAGTCTTCAGTATTTTTCAAATTTCTACTTCCCAAAAGGCCAGTAACGCACTTGTAACGCCTCTGGTGCTCCAGGTGTCAGTGGGGGACGCCGATTGCTTACCATCAGGTGATCTGTCTGCTCGTAACCGGCTTATCCCATAAAAAAGTACCTACACTTACTAGTAGTCATATCACGGTCCCTCGGACGCGCCGGACTTCAGTGTTTCGGTGTTATCATGGTTGTATCTACTGTAGATCCTGACTTACAGGAGTTGCAGCGGTATTGGGAGGATGTGGCGGGCTTGTCCGTTAAAAAAAATATATCACGGCCTCACAAAAAACCGTCGTACAATAACGGTGGTGTTGCGAGTGTCCTTGGGCGGCGCTGATCACTTACCTTCAGGTGATACGTCTGCTCGTTTGCCACGCGCTATCCTATTAATAAGCTATTTTTTGTCTACTTATGTTATTAGCCCCATATAACAGAGCCCATTGCCAAAGAATAGGGTAGTTTCCAGGGTAAAAAAATTAAAAATCTAATTAGTCTGTCAGATAGATAATGAAAAAATATTAGACACGTATTTTTTTTATTTTCTCGTATATAGTACTTAAATAAAATGGCGTTAAGTTTAGTAGTGGGTGTTAGTTACGTCACAACGTGTTACATTTTGTAGCACGCTGTGACGTCACGTGACATTTCAAATCAATATATCTTCAAAAGCATTTAATTGTGTGAGAAAAGAAAAAATACGTGTCTAATGTTTTAAAATAATCTACCAGACGGACATTAAAATAAAATTTAGGAATTTTCTAAAATGCGTATGATGATGAGGTAGATAATAATAAGTCTAAGGAGGAGGCGGACCTCCTCACGACCCGGCCGTCGCGAGAGATACTCCGGGCGTCGGGGATCGCGACACGATCTGGGATCACCGTAAGCCTGGGCCTGCGGACGGCGAGCACGGGTGACTCGCCGCCCGACTAGAACCAGGCCTGAGCGTACGGCGCGTCGCGTTCCGCGCGCGTTTCAAGGAGCCATCAGACCACCACAGATGGGGCCTAACAGGGCTGATGCCGATACGGAGCCGCGGAAGACTTAACGGGTTGCCGGGGCTCCGGCTCGAAGTGCAGGAGTAGGAACGGGGTGGTTTTTAGTCAGTAAGAGTCTGACACTCCCTCCCTCCTCACCCTGGCGGGAGAAGTCATTAGATGATTTTCACCCCTCAAAAAAAAAAGATAATAATAAGTCTTTATTTTACAGTCCCAACACATGGTGACACACGAGAGAACGGAGGAGTGCGACAAATGCCATGCAAAGTTCCATACAAACTCACAGCTGAAGAATCATACAAAGCAAGCACACTCTAAGAAGAATCAGAAGGATGATGAGAGTATTACGTAAGTATTTTCAAATTACTTCTTTATTCGGTTCTTTCTTTCCTAAATCAATCTTATGGCTGTTTTCACTAAACACTTCTAACCCGTTAACTAAGAGTTACTTAGCGTTAAGGAAGCACCTAAACTGACTCTTCATCTTTAGGTGTCTCTTGTATGTAGGGTGGTGAAAATCAAAGTGTCGTTAATTGTCACCTATCTTAGCTTAGGAGTTAATCAAAATTTAAGACAGATTGGTCCAAACAGGTATTAAAACAAACTTTGGCCTGCCTTGTTGGCCGAGTGGTCGCAATTGCGACTGCCGGGTAAGGGATCTCGGGTTCGATTCCCGGGTCGGGCAAAGTATTACTGGGTTTTTAAAAATTCTCAGTAGTAGCACGGAGTCTGGAACTGTGCCCGGTATATACCGGCCATGCCTATGCATATCTTGCCATATGGCAATAGGCTCACTCCCTATTACACGGGACTCATAACATAAATAGTGAAAAGTGGGTGTTACATTGTACAGTGGTATAAAGTGCACCTCTGCCTACCCCTTCGAGGATAAAAGGCGTGATGTTATGTAAAATAAACTTTATGGGTAAAACTACGTATGTATACCTTTGCGGCGTACGGTTACACTCCCGCCCTCTATCCCACTCTATTTACTGACAGTACTGGGTGATAGCAAAAGACTAAGACCCTTGTTCGGCAATCACACTCGTAAAACGGACTTTAAAATAATACGCAAAAAATGCATTTTCAGAAAACCCAGACCAGATCTCAACCAAAGCTCTTCAGCCGGCGACAATACCCAATCAGATCAAGAACTAAAAATATCAGAAGATGAAAGCGGTAAGCTGCCATTTTTGTTTAGCGAATTTGAGAGTTGTTTGAAACGCGAGGACCTAAGTCACCCCACTCAATGTGCTATTGTAAGCAAAATGCACAAAGGGAGATCCGTTTCTGATGTCTGTAGACTATATAATCTAACTCCAGAAATTGTAAATGAAATCTGGGAGGACAGGGAAAAATATGCCCTCCCCAAAAAAGCCGGTAAAAGAACCACTAGGTACATGAACAGCATTTTGGACACAAGAATCGTCGAATGGTTTCATTCTCAAAGAGCTAATGACATCCAAGTATCCGGAAAAATGCTCCAAGATGTTGCGGAAGCGTTTGCCAAAGAAAGCGGTTTTGTAGCCTTTAATGGGAGCAAGAAATGGCTCGATAGGTTCAAAAAACGATATAATATCTCTTTAAGAGGGACGCCTTGTAAGAGGGACTACCACAATCAAATGGAATCGAAATGGAAAAACCATTTCTTTAGAGAGCAATGGAGTGATGCGCGCTTGGGTATACCGGACGAAGATATTTATACAGCTGATGAATTCGGCTTCTACTATAACCCCTCAAAAGGCCGAATAAAAAAGTTGGCTGGCAAAAAGTATATACAAGGTTATGTAAAAGACCGTCTATCAGTGTTCCTTTGCGCAAATATGCCTGGTACCGATAAAAAGAAGTTACTTGTCTGTGGCACAGAAGATCCGCTTTTACATTCTTATAGAGACCCGGATACGTTACCTGTGACGTATATCCGGCACTCACAAGCACACTTCACCACGCAAATGTTCGAAGAATATGTCAAATATTGGAATAGAGAGTTGCAAATGAAAAATCGGAGAGCCATTCTCGTTTTGGACAGGGCTACGATACACTCAAAGTTGCAATTGTCCCATTTAAAATTAGTTTTCGTACCTTGGAAGGCGTCTAATGGTTTAATACCAATGAAGAACGGTGTTTCAGTCAAATTCCGAGATGAATTTAGGAGATTAATCTTAGAAGAGAAAGCTATGAATGTCCTTAGAGGTGTGGATCGAAATATAACATGTTTGGAAGCTTTGTACATGCTGGAAAAGGCTTGGGAAAGAACACCGCCAGATGCTATCACAAAAAGCTTCGTAGACACAGGCTATGACGTCACAATACCCGAAGAAGTTATAGAGATAGACAAACCAAAAGTCTATGAAAACGATGAAGAAATCCTAGCAAATATGCTGAAGGATTACGACGTAGAGTCATATTTCACAAATATAAGCACTTTAGATCAATATTTGACAGTTGACGAGGAACTAGTGACAGGTCAAGGAACAAACGGTTCAGTTTTTGGCGGGAACCATAAAGTCACAGATCCTCTAAACTATGCTGAGAAAGCCAAAGAGGATTTAATGCCTCTCGCCACAGATAAGCCAGAAACAGACGAGAAGGAGGTTTTAGTTAAAAAGTCGAGGGCGTTGCAGGATTTGGATATTGTGAGAAAGTATTTGCAGTCCAATGCGACGTCGTATGACACTTTTTGTTGTTTTATGGAGATCGAGAAGTTTGTTATGCAGACTGTTATAGGTTGATAGGTTTTTTGGTTGTTTTTTAATTGTTTTTCGGTTGCCTATAGTGGTATTATAGAGTTTTTGGAGCCGGGAATCGGTTTTTAAGTGAATATGACAAGGAAAGAGCTCATTTTTAACTGTCAATGTAACTATCTGATATATCTGATGAATGAAATACAAATTAAGACTGTTCTCTTCAATCAACAAGTTAAAGTTTTAACCCTCGAATATTATATGTATGTTATTTATGATAGAAAATTTAAACTACTACTATTTTTATTATGAACAAACTGCTTGTTTTAAATAAAGTAAGTAATTCCACTATAGGGAACTATATAATGATGGCTCAATTTCATCCATCTTATTGTTCTCAAATCTCGAACCCCTAAAACACTGGCAAAGCACTTGTCTCTGGTGTTGTGGACACTCATGGGCGGCGCCAATCTTAAATGCTTACCATCAGGTGATCCATCTACTAGTTTTCCGGCCTATACCATTAATAAGTCGCGGAGAACCTAACGGGTTACCTTACGGCTCCGGCTCGACGCGCAGGAGAAGAACGGGGTGGTTTTTAGTAAGAGTCTGACACTCCCTTTTGCCTCACTCAGGCGGGAGCAGTCATTCGATGATTAAATAATAAATACCATAAAAATACCATGAATAAATCTGTAGGTAATATCAGAGAAAACATAAAATGATACAGAGACAGCAAGATGGATAAAATTAAGCCCAAAAGTCATAAGCCATGGATTTGTTATAAAAAAATTTAGTCAAAAAAGTTATATAAACAATTTATTTTTATTTTTGTATTTTAATTATATTAAATACTTTGTTAAATAAGTACCTACGGTGTTGAAATCTTATTTTGATATAATATTAGGGAGCTAGATGAAAATTTTGAAGTCAACGGAATTAGATTTTTAAAAGTTTTAAAAAATATTTCTTGTATCTAGATAGATAGTCATTTTTATTATTATTGTGATTTTTTCAAATGGCTCCCGATTCTGTCTTAAGTAGTTTGGATCTCAGTACTTAAAAGATCTCGTTGGGTCAGTGGTTGCAAGAGCGACTGGTAAGCATGAGGCCTGGAGATTGATCCTTGATCGGTTGTGTTGATATGTATATTGTGTTACTTATTACACCAAATGTTGAAGACTAATGAATATTTTGTTATAGAAAAATGTGCTCGACTGAGGAATCGATCTCCATTGTCTTATAATCAACATTTGTGAATGTAATATTAAAAAGAGTTCAAAATTTTACTAATAATAGACAGAGTCGGGGGCCTTGTGAATATTTTTTAATATTGCAAATTAAATGTATAGATAATACATGCTGATATGACGAGGGTGCAAAAATACCAACAATGTTTTTTAATGACAGACAAATCCCGGTACAAATACAGGTTTAACCCCAATATCCCCAAACGATCACCAGTGACCACTCTCCACTAACTATATTATAGACCTTATTTCCAATGTTTAGAGACTACTTTTGTATGAACAAATTTAGGGGATGATTTTCAACGGGTTAACTATTTTTAAATCAAATAAAACAATAGAAATACTTAAAGGTACGTACATACTTGTGTTGTTTGTCTATGGACGGCGCCGATCGGTTACCACTTACTTTTAGGAGTCATCCATACCAGGGCTTCTGGTTTTTAGTCAGTAAGAGTCTGACACTCCCTGCCCCCTCACCCAGGCGGGAGAAGCCTTTCGATGATTTTCCCCCTTTAAAAAGGGGTTTTATATGCCTCTTCTCCCGTCCTTGACACAGCTGGTCACATTAGGGATAGGGATCCCTAGTGTGAGTCGCGGAGAACCTAACGGGTAACCGTCGAGCCGCAGGGCTCGACGTGCAGGAGAAGGAACGGGGTGGTTTTTAGTCAGTAAGAGTCTGACACTCCCTCCCGCCTCACCCAGGCGGGAGCAGTCGTTCGATGATTTTCCCCCCTTAAAAAAAATCCCTAGTGTGACGTTATATTTGTCTCTCTCCTCCTCAAAATGTGACGTAATTTGTGGTTGACCCCTTAGGTAATCTATCTGCTCGTTTGCCGACTTATTCCACTAAAAGTGTTTGTAGATTTGACGCTCACCAGATGGAGCACCTAATGTTCAAAGTCCTTTTAACCTTATTGTCTAATACTCAAACGTCACTCAATTCTAAGATGCGCTTAAGTATGGTTCTATCATAACAACATTTTTGTAAAATGACAGAGAATGCACAATATTCCAGTACAATTTGAAATTGAGTAGCCTTACAGTATTCGAGGGTTAGACAATTGATATTGTCACTAGACTAGAGATCATACCTAATCTCTATCAACACAAAAACTTGGTACAGTTTCTTGTACTTCAATTTATCATTTTTGGGAATAAAAAGTTACAGGTTGAATGTCGTTTCATCAGCATGTATTATCATATAAATAAGCACGCAATTTACTAGTTATAGTCAATAAAAACTATGATACCAGAGATTATTGTGCAAAAAGGCCAATTATCAAATACAAACCATATGTTTAACATTTTGAAAATAGCAATATTTAAATAAAATAACATTTATCAACGAATCTAGCTTTTACAGATTTTGAATTTTTATACTATACATTAAATTAAAATGTTTGTCGTTCGTTACAATTTATAGATATATACTAGATGAATTTTGATGTGAAATTTAGTCGTTCCTCTTACTTATAGATGGCGCTACTGTCTTTAAGGGTATAACACGTTAAAACTCATTTTTGAACTCTAAGGGCGTTAATGAAGCTTAACCCGTCGTGTGTCTAAACGTGGATCCGCGCGAGACACAGCGTATTTTCTATTGTGTCTCATATACAGGCATTCAAACGGTTAAAAGTTGGTTTCTTAAAAGTAATTATTGAGGTCTGGTATATTTTTAACTTTTCAATCCTCAAATTCCTAACTCCGAAAATGCCAGCAACGTGCGTGCGTGCACGCCCTTGCGGGTATCCATGGGCGGCGGGCGAGATTGCTTACGATCAGGTGAATCAGCTGATCTGTCTGCCCGTTTATCAGCTCATCCTTCATGGTAAAAAACTAGTGTTACGTTTGATTTTGGCACCTCTGCCTACTTTGAATAGTTGAAGCTTATGACAGTAGCACATCTTAAATTGAAGTTTTTCCTTCTTCCATCTGTATATCTTGCCCTTTTATTGTTATTCGCAACATTTTATGTACATACACAGCCAGATTTATCAATTTAGGTATACAATATAAACAAAAAGGTTTATCTACTTGTAAATTTTTTTATGTAAATATGTCTTAGACGTAAGACAAATTCCAATCTTTATTGTAATTTTATTGTGTATGTTTAATAGTTGTTAACTCCTGATAAATTGCCGTTCAATGTCTTTTTATCTTAATTTAAAATTATTTCATGTCGTTTTTATATTTAGGCCAAGATCGATGTAAAATTTTTACTAAAGACGTTGCCGTGGACGCTAACATGTTCTCCTGTGTTGTGGGTGCGTTTCCAAATATACAATTTCATATGATATATATCACTACACGTTCGCGACAACCAATTAGCCAGCTACTGTGCCGCGCCAATCGTGTAATCAAAATTAATGTATGTAAACAAATAATAAATGTAAAACTACGTTTGTATAGCTCCACGGCTTGCGGTCACATTCCCGCCCTCCCTCTCCCTCTATCTCTTAATATTATTATTTCTGAGTGATGAACGAAGTATAGAAGCATAGAAAACTTTAAAAATATACATTGAATGGTGTAGTGTTGCCAGATCTTCTGGTATTTTTTGTTATAATTCAATACCAGCTGTTCTTTTTAGACAATAATTATTTTTATTGGTGCTTATAGAAATTCTTTGTTTAACTGTGTAAGTTATCTCATTAAAAGTTTTTTTTTTAAGACTGGCAACATTACTACAGAGCGTGTTTTGTTGGAGTTACAACGTTGCTGTAGTTTGTTACAAGTGTTTTTTCCTAAACGTATTTTAAGAATAAATGATTTTTAAGTGTCAAGTCTGTTTGTTGTTTTATTTTGTTTTTTTTTTCTAGATTTTTTCCATTGGGTAAGAGTCCTTTGAGCCACGTATCCAGGGCCGTTGTCTCTCTAAGAGGATGGCAGAGATAGCCTCTGGGAGTCAAACTAGAGACTTCATGCATGAGGATGTATTTATCAAATGTGGGGGTATTTTGTTTTTTAAAATTACAAATAAAAAAAATACTTCAAAATTCATAAAAACATTCATTTTTATTAACAGTGTAAAACAATTATATACAGCTTTCTAGATTACATTTGTTCAATTTACAAACACATTAAATGAATAATTTAATTAATGGACTGAAGTCAAACTTCATATTGCAATAAAAATGGTATTAAATATTAACAATAAAATTTTATATCAACATTTCTTTTTAGATTATTTCGTATAAGTTATAGCCTTATTTCACAATGCAATGGAACCAAAATAATGGATATGTTTTTAAAAGTACATTACCTAATTACAGACTAAAATAATGAGCGGCGTATTTTATTTAATTTAAAAATTATAAGTACTTATAAATTGCTTGTTTCTGAGAGTTCGGACTCAAAACGATAGAAGCACAAAACATGCTATACGGCCCGACCTTACGAGATGTAGTCTTATGCCCGCGATACACCTTGTGATAATAATCAATATGAAGCTACAATTGAAATGATGGCAGGGTAGGAAAAATTAAAAAACCTACCTTAAACTACAGTTTTAACTGAACAAGACGACACATAAATTCGACAGTAAAATCGTAAGGTCTATAGGCTGTACGGAGATAATTAAACTATGCAGTTTCATTTGCACAATAGGCCTTATGTTTGTAGTGTAATTATAAACATTTGACATAATTCTCCAACTAAGACAACAATTATCAAAATTTAAATAAAATACCCAACTCAAAACACCTACATAATAATTATAATCAACATTAATTTTAAATATAGTATTCATACTGACTAGACCAATTTATTTGTTTTCTAGAGACGGTGACACGTTTCTCCCGAGTACATTTTCTTTATATCTTAGTTTCTGGACATTGGTAGGGTCGCTTAGCACCTCTTCATCTATTAGCCGTTCTACTCTTTGGTCTTGTACTGGTTCTGAAATGAAATAAGGAGGTTTCACATTAATTATCAATACACTAGTTATATAAAACCTGTTTTTACGTGGCTGCCTCATTGTCCAAGTGATGCCGGTCGGTCAAAGATTATGTACTGGGTTTTTTAAAATCGCAGTAGTATCACGGAGTCGGAAATGTGCCAGGTATATGGCAAAAGCCCCGTATTACATGGGAAAAATTGGTGTTACATTGTACAGCGGCATTAAGTGCCGTAATGTGCACCTTTGCCTTCCCCTCCGGGTATACAAGGCGTGATAGTGTTGTTTTTCAAGTCTGTTAATAATAAAGTTAGTCAATACACAATCTTGTTTCTAAGTATATATAACATTAACATTTTACTGAAAACCACAACAAAATCAGTACACCCAATACTGAGGTAAAATGTAAATGCCTTGTTGCTCGGGTGGTCTCACAAGTCGAGTGTGACTACTGAGCAATCTCTCAGGTTTGAGCAAAGTGGTATTGGGTTCCTATAGTTACTTTTCCAATTGCCAGTGATAGTGAGGAGTTTTAAAGGTTTGCCATAATACAATGCCAGTATATGATATTACATTAATTTCTTTTGGTGGCAAAAAGGGCACAGACCACCTTATTAGATGGGACTCATAATATAACTCACTGGCAACTTCTTTGCAGTTTTATTTGCTGACTATAGTTTACCTCGATAACTGGATGATTCAACACAAAAAATATTTCATATCACAGGTAAAAAAAATTTCAGATCTAAGGTACAGGCTCGGCCTAGTTTAGATGTTAGTGTTCATAAACTGTGTGTCAAATGTTTTTGTTACAATAAACACTTTTTATTTAATTTTTTTATTATTATATCAAAATAGTAGTTCCTGAGATTAGAATGTTGAAACAAACAAAAAAACTTCTCATATTTATATAATAAGCACAAGCTGATTACAAGATGAAAAGTGGGTGTTACATATTTTTATATGTATCTATCTCCTCGAGAATTAAAGTGTGATGTAGTGTTTGACTTGGCAATTAGCATAGTATTAAAATCAATACTTCTCGTACTTTAAACTGTCAAACACCGAGCGGTCACTGGTGACCGCAAGCTATTGTTCTATAGAGGTAATTGTGTCTCTAATGACGGTACTCGACGAGTTGATATTTGTGTTTAAAGTTTTATAGATTATCGAGAAGAAAATTCGACTGCATGGTTGGTGCGGTGGCTGAGCAAATGACTGCTCCGCAACATGTCGCGGGTTCGGTTCCAACTCTTTGTGTGACCCACAGATTGTTGTTCCGGGTTTGGGTGTAATGTGTATGTGAACTTGTATGTTTGTAAACGCACCCATGACAAAGGAGATAATCAGTGTGGGGTAATGTTAAAAAAAATGATATGATGTTATTACTTACTGTTATATGGTGTATATCTGTCTGATAATAAACTTTCCAAGTTGTATCCTATGACACCGACCACAGCCGCTACTGGTAATGTGAAGTATGGAGCGTTTGTTCTAAGGAACTGCATTATTATTGGCCACATCTGAAAATAAGACATTATTTTTTATAGTGCTACTGTATGGCAGTGGATCAACCTACCCTTTTCTGTCAAATTCCTTTAATAGATTTTCAACTGTATCTTTTAGAGGTAAAGTCGGAAAAAGAATGACAAAAATTTACACATTGGAGGGGGTTTATGTATGGGTCACAGAATGAAATAATATTATTTACATCTGCATATAGGGTACCTACAAAAAACACTTACACATTATAAATTAACTCATCGAGTACCGTCATTATAGACACAATTATAGAACAATATACATTTTTACCGTGGGAGAGCCATGCTTCGGCACGAATGGGCCGGCTCGACCGGAGTAATACCACGGCCTCACAGAAAACCGGTGTGAAACAGCGCTTGCGCTGTGTTTCACCGAGTGAGTGAGGGTACCGGAGGCCCAACCCCCCCCCCT